TCCAAGGGACTAGGCAAAGCCGTAAAGGCCAACATGAACAGCGCATAATGGAGCGGTACCCACAGTCAGCCAGAGCTGAGCTCACACCACAAAGATTCACTCGCTCGCTCTAGAACGAGTGGATCGGGTCGCGTCAGGTTGATGCGCGGTTGCTCGGGTCGGGGTGGGGCGGAGTTGTGGGTGGGGTGGGGATGTCGGGGTGGGGAGTGGGTGGGCGCCGGAGTGGGAGTGGTGTGACTGCTCCTGTGGTGCGAGTCTGAAAAACCGTCCGCGGCTTATTGAATTCTTTCTTCCAAAATTCTTTCTTCGAGAGCGCCGCCTTCTAGCCGCGACCGCGGTTGAGAACGGGCGCCTCGCAGTGATGGCCACGCCAGAGCGGCCCTCCGAGTCGTTCGAGTCGTCTGCGAGGTCCAGCGGGGTCTATGTGGACGAAGCGCCCGCATCGAGGCCGAGGAGCTTCGGCTGTGGGACCCTTCCCGCCGGCGGCTGCAAGATGGCGGTCGGCTCCGTCTCCGGCCGGCAGCCTGTCACCCGGCAGCGCGCAAGCACGGACGTGGCTCGTCGGCCCCCCCAACCACAGGCCGAGACGTACACCACCGCGCAGCTCCTCTCGGTGATGAAACTCGGGCCGGCAGGGTGGGCGGCCGGCGACGACGACGGCGGCCAGGCGGGCGACGCCTTCTACGCGTCCCCCGACCCCTCGCGCACCAGCCTGGCCTCTCGGCAGGCGGCGGCGACGCCGCCCTCCGTCGGGTCCGGCGGCACCCTCGGCTCCGGCTTTGGGACCCTCTCGAACACCCTGACCGCGACGCTTTCAAAGCCGATGCGCTCGCTCATCAAGGGCGCGGGGGGTGCGTGCGACACACCACGACGCCCGAGCCACCTCTCGCCCTCGCGCCCCTTCTCGCCCTCGCCCTTCTCGCCATCACGCCCTCGCCCTGCCTCGCCCTCGCCTCTCTCCCCTCGCCTCATCTCTGCCTCCCACGCCCTCATCTCCGCCGCCCTCGCCTCTTCCCCCGCCCTTCCCCCATAATCCCCCCCCCCCCCCCCCCTCAATTCCCAATTCCTCAAGCCGTGCTCAAGCCGTGCTCATAACCCCGCACGTTGGCGTACCACAGGCTCCTCCTCCCCGTCGCCTCCGCGCCGCCCGACGGGCGGCGGCGGGTCGGGACGGCGGAGCAGCAGCAGCAGCAAGGCGGGGTCGCGCGGAGGCTGATGGAGGGAGTCTGACACGCCAAACTCGCTGTGAAGAGCGTCTCTTCACACCTCCAGCTGTGAGCAGGCTCGTGGAGGGAGTCTGACACGCCAAACTCGCTGTGAAGAGCGTCTCTTCACACCTCTAGCTGTGAGCAGGCTCGTGGAGGGAGTCTGACACGCCAAACTCGCTGTGAACAGCGTCTCTTCACACCTCTAGCTGTGAGCAGGCTCGTGGTACTCGACCCGTTCGACGGAAGCGGAGGCGCGGCTGCACCTCGGCTGCACCTCGGCTGCACCTCGGCTGCACCTCGGCTGCACCTCGGCTGCACCTCGGCTGCACCTCGGCTGCACCTCGGCTGCACCTCGGCTGCACCTCGGCTGCACCTCGGCTGCACCTCGGCTGTACCTCGGCCGCACCTCGGCTGCACCTCGGCTGCACCTCGGTCGTACCTCGGCTGCACCTCGGCTGCACCTCGGCTGCACCTCGGCTGCACCTCGGCTGCACCTCGGCTGCACCTCGGCTGCACCTCGGCTGTACCTCGGCTGCCCTTGGGCGGCCCCTGGGGTGCACCTGGGGTGTACCTGGGCTGTTTCGGGGGAAACACCACCTTTTCCCCCGCCCCCCCCGAGTCCCGGGGGAGAGTAAGGGGCCCTCATCGAGGGGTCCCCCCCCCCCCCCCCCCCCACACCCCCCACCCCACTACCACCACCACCCCCCTTTGCCCCCCAAGGTGGCGGACGAGGCGGGCGAGGAGGCGGACGCCAGCGCGATGCAAGTCCTGCGCAAGCAGGACAACCTCGACCAGCTCGCCCTCTCATATACACCATTGTTATTGAATTATTATGCTATTATTATTATTATTATTATTATTATTATTATTATTAGGACAACCTCGACCAGCTCGCCCTCTCGCTCCGCTCCAAGATGTCGATGCGGCCGGAGCGGCACCCGTGGCTGCTCGCCTTCACAAACGCGTCGTACGAGCGCGACTTCCGCGCGGGCGCCTTTGCGCGCGGCCTCAACCTCGCCCTCTACCTCGCCTTCTCCGCCGCCGTCTTCACCGCCCTCCTCCTCCTCCTCGACGCTTACTCCCTCCCGGACGTCGACGTCGACGCGAGGCTCCTCCCCCTCCTCCTCTCGGCACGGCTCGCCGGCGCGGCGGTGTGGCTGCTCCCCGGCTTCTGGCTGCTGTGGCGCCGCGACCACGCTGCGGAGGGCGCCGCTGGCGAGCTCGTCGCGACACGGCGCGTGCAGGCGGCAGCATCGGCCCTCTTCAGCACGTGCGTGCTCGCGTCGGTCGCCGCGGACGCCCTGGCGGTGGCGGAGCTGTACAGCGGCGGCGCCGCAGCCGGCGATGTCAACGCGCCGCGCGAGTCGTTTCGGCTCGCCGCATGGCTGCTGATCTTCCACACCCTCCTTGTGCCCACGCTGCCGCAGCCCTTCGTCTCGCTCGGCTGCTCGCTCGCGCTCCCCGTCTACGCGTCGGTCTTCCTCTGCCGCGGCGGCTGGGGCGCCTTCTACGGCTGGGCGCCCGACGGTGCGCAGGAGGAGGCGGCGAGGAAGGTGCTCTGGGCGGAGCTCGCGCAGGCTGGCGGCGCGCTCGTCGTCGGGATGCTCCTCGCGTACCAGGAGATCACGCTCTCCCGCGACAACTTCTGGTTCTCGCGCCTCTCGGTCGAGATGATCCACGCGCAGCTGAAAGTGCATCTCCCCACATCTCCCCACAGCTCCCCACATCGCCCCATCTCTCCCCATCTGCCATATCTCCGCATATCTCCCCGTATATCTCCGCATATCTCCCCGTATATCTCCCCACACCTCCCCACATCTCCCCACACCTCCCCACATCTCCCCACACCTCCCCACATCTCCCCACCCCTCCCCACATCTCCCCACATCTCCCCACATCTAGCCACATCTCCCCACATCTCCCCACATCTCCCCACATCTCCCGACATCTCGCTAGGTACGCCACCGCACGCAGCGGCTCCTCCTCAACACGCTGCCCGCCGCGATCGTCCAGCAGATCGCGTCGGGCAACGTCACCTTCGTGCAGCGCTACCCGCACGCCTCGGTGCTGCAGGCCGACTTTGAGGGCTTCACCGCCCTGTCTGCACGCTACCCGCCAAACCAGGTCCACACACGCGCGCACACACACACACACACACACACACACACACACACACACACACACACACACACACACACACACACACATACACACACCGCTCACACACGCGCACTGGGCCCTTGCACTTTGAATGCCGTGGGGCTCCTGTCGTCAGACGTGGAGACGCGAGGGTTGCCTGGCCCTTGCCCCACCACCTCGTGTGTGTGGAGAAGTGTACCTTACCTTACCCTTAGGTCCTCTCCTTGCTCTCGGACATCTTCGAGGCCTTCGACGGCCTCGCCGACAAACACGGCGCCGACAAGCTCAAGACCATCGGAGACGCGTATGTCGTCTCCGCGGGCGCCCTCTCCCCGATGCCCGACCACGCGGCGGCGCTCGTCGCGATGGCGCTCGAGATGGTCGACGCGGTGACGGAGATCGTGATGGCGGCGGAGGCGGGGCTCGAGCTCTCCCGCATGCTAGACCTAGAGACGCCGCGGGGGGGCGGCGCCGCCGGCAAGGGCGGCGGCACGGACGCCGACGGCGGCAAGGGCGGCAAGGGCGGCGGCAAGGACAGCACGCGGATCGGGGTGCGAATCGGCATCCACTCGGCAGAGGTGGTCGGAGGCATCATCGGCACCGTCCGGTTCCACTTCGACATATGTGGGGCCACCCCTCTCTGGCCACCTCTCGACTGCACCTCGGCCGCACCTCGCTGCCATAGGTTCCACTTCGACATGTGGGGCCCCGCGGTCGACGGCGCCGTCTTGCTCGAGGAGTCTGGCGGCGCCGCTCGCGTCCACATCTCGGACGCCACCGCGGCGCTCTTGGACCCTGGCGAGTTTGAGCTGTCGCGCGCGGTTACCAACGACGGGTCGCGAGGCCGCGAGGCGCTCGGGATCGAGGCGTCCTACTTTGTCGAGCCGTGCCGCGACGCCGCGCGCGAGCGGAGCGACAGCGTGCTGAAGAGGATCCGAGGCAAGCACCGGGGGGGAGGGGGCCGGCAATGGATTCGATCTCGGCTAGATCCCGGCCATATCATTAATTAGGCGAGAGGGTCCGAGGCAAGAACCCGGTGAGGGCTGGCGCGGGCGGCGGGGTCCCTGTCAGCGGCCGTTCGTCCGACGCGTCCGAGGAGGAGGAGGAGGAGGAGGAGGGGGAGGGGCTCGAAGAGCTGCAGGCGGCGGTCGAGGCTGGAGTGGCGCCCGTCGCCACCACTGTGGCGCGGATGGCCGCCGCTTCTGCCGCGAGCGAGCACCGAAGGCGCGTGGTCGGCTCGCCCGTGCGGCCGCCCCGAGAATCCGCCGATGGCTCCGCCGGCCAGTCAGCACTGCCGTCGGCTGAGTCGACGCCGCGGAGCGCGGCGACGCTGGACCAGATGTTCTCCTCGATGCAGGAAGACATGCTCCTCTCGACCGACCACGCAGCGGCCTCCCCAGGGTCCTCCCCGGGGTGGGACGCGCGCCGCCCCTCGCCGCGCCGCTCGCTCGCCGCCGCAGCAGCAGCGCGTGCCGACGCCGAGCGGCGGCTTGCTGCGTCCACGCCGCCGCCGGCGCAAGGGGCCCCGCCCTCCCCTCCGCCCTCGCCGCCGCCGAGAAAGAGCCGCCGCGCCCCCGGGGCCACCAGCACACCTCCGCTGCCGGCGGCGCGGCCCTCGTCCGCCGGGTCGAGGCATTCGACGGTGAGCGCCCTGCGGGGCCGCAAGCGCCACAGCATGATCTCCTCGCCGGAGCATGACGTGGCTGAGCGTCGCTTCTCCGGCAAGAGCCTTTCCGTCAGGAGCCCTCCTCTCTCGGTCGCCGGCAGCAGCCAGGAGAGCTTCGACGCCAAGCTGAAGAAGTCCGCGCCCACCGCGGTCCTGCCAGGCGAGGTGGCGCTCAACCCGCAGAAGGTTGACTTCTCAAACATCATGGCGGGCAACCTGATGGTCGCGGGTGGCGGCGCCTCCCCAGCCCTCCAGCCCTCTCCGTCGCCTCTCGTGTCGCCGCGCAAGTCGCGCTATTCGGAGGATGCAAGACTCGGTGCAAGGTCGCGCTATTCGGGCAGCAGGCCCGGGAGCGGGCCCGGGTCGGCCTCTGGGCGTGCAGAGGTGGTGGAGTTTGGCGGGTGCAAGGCACCGACCGCAGAGTCCAACTCCAACCCGCTCTCGCGCCGCGCGGCCTCGCCGCCGCTCACCGTGGGATGGCGCGAGGCCGCGTCAAACGAGGCGCCGGACGGGGAGGCGGCGGGCAGCGGCGCGGCGGAGTCGGCGGGCGCGCACAGGAGCCCGCATGTCGGAGGGCTCGTGCCACAGCAGCAGCGGCAGTCTGTCACCAAAGTAGCGCTCGCGACGCACCCGGCGCTGCTGCTGCTGGTGACGACGCTCGTCTTCGGCCCGTACGACTGGCTCACCTTTGACGACGTGGAGGCGCCGAACGTCGCGGCGGCTGCGGACACAGACGCCCTGCTGACCTTTGTCACGCTCGAGGAGTTGTGGGAGTCGAGCTGGGGCCTGTCGTGGCAGAGCCTGCTCTACGTGCGCTACCTGATCGCCACGCCGCTCACCGCGCTGCTGTACCTTCTCTCGAGGTACAGCGCGGCGCGCCAGAGGCGGGACACGCCCGAGGGCACGCTGCGGGGCGGCGCCGGGCGGGGAGATCACGCCAGATCGCACCCGAGAGTAGGCAAGCCGACGAGGAGGGGACGCCGCAGACGGAGGCAATACTAAGAACAACCATACTCGTAATCATACTGGTGAGAATAGCAATGAGAACACCGAGACTGATACTAGGCGCGAGTCAAGCTGCTCTCGCAGGCTCTTGCGGCGAGCGCCTGCCTGATCGGCATCGCCCTCATCGTGCGCGCGCCCGCGCCGGACGCTGCTTGGTCCACCTCCACCCTCTGCCTGCACGTCTTTTACCTGTACACCATCCTGCCGCTCCCGCGCTTCAACCAGTTCCTGGCCGCCGCCGCGCTCACCGCCGCCGGCGTGCCGCTGGTGTACTACTTCCACATCGCAGGTGTGGCTCTGCCGCCGCAGCCGCCGCCCCCGCTGCCGCCCTCGCTGCCGCCGTGGGTGCCGCCCCCTCTGCTGCACCCGCCGCCGCCCCCTCCGCCGCCTTCGGGCCCGCCCTTGCCTCCGCCGCCGTCCCCCCCCCCCTCGCTGCCGCCGCCTTCGGCCTCGCCCTCGCCTCCGCCGTCTCGTCGGCGACTATCTGCACTCCGCGTGCCGCCCGCACCGCCTCCGCCGCCGCCCTCGCCGCCGCCGCCCGCGCCGCCCTCGCTGCCGCCCACACCGCCGTATTCGCCTCCGTCGCCTCCGTCGCCTCCGTCGCCTCCGCCCGTCCCGCCGCCGCCCTCGCCGCCGCCGCCGCCCTCGCCGCCTCCAAACGTCTACATATGCCGGCGGGACAGCAGCGGGGAGGGAGAGGACGTCACAGTGTGCGAGGGGAACGACTGGCTGTGGCTCGTGCTCTGGCTGGTGGCCGTGCACCTCGTCGGCCTCTTCTACGCGCGACGGCGGCGCCTCGACCTGCTCGCGCACCTGCACCACCTCTCGCAGGCTGCGACCTCCTCCGCGGCCATCGTCTCGGACGCGGAGGCGTGCAAGCAGCTGCTCTCGAACATCTTCCCGCCCCAGGTCCTGCGCCAGATAGAAGAGCAGGAGCAGCGGCTGCTCCAGTACGACGGCGAGGGCGGCGAGGGCGGTGGCGAGGGCGGCGGCGGCGGAGGACCCGAGCGGAGCATCGCCCAGCTGCACACCGGCTGCTCCTTCCTGTTCGCCAAGGTGGGGAGATATGGGGAGATATGGGGAGATATGGGGAGATATGGGGAGATATGGGGAGATATGGGGAGATATATGGGGGTGCTCCTTCCTGTTCGCCAAGGTGGGGAGATATGGGGAGATATGGGGAGATATGGGGAGATATATGGGGGTGCTCCTTCCTGTTCGCCAAGGTGGGGAGATATGGGGAGATATGGGGAGATATGGGGAGATATATGGGGGTGCTCCTTCCTGTTCGCCAAGGTGGTCGGGCTGGCTGCCGCTCGTTGGCGTGAACAGCGTCTCTTCACACCCACTGCTGTGGATAGGTGGTCGGGCTGGCTGCCGCTCGTTGGCGTGAACAGCGTCTCTTCACACACCCACTGCTGTGGATAGGTGGTCGGGCTGGCAGAGCTCGTTGGCGTGAACAGCGTCTCTTCACACACCCACTGCTGTGGATAGGTGGTCGGGCTGGCTGCCGCTCGTTGGCGTGAACAGCGTCTCTTCACACCCACTGCTGTGGATAGGTGGTCGGGCTGGCGGAGCTCGTTGGCGACCGCCTGCAGCGGCCCCGCACGATCCTGCTGCTCCTCCAGTCCATCTTTGACCGCTTCGACCGCCTGACGGAGACGTTTAACGTGCAAAAGGTGCGCAAGACCGTCAACGAGTCCTACATGGTTGCCGCCGGCCTTCCGGAGCCCGAGCTGCTCGGATCGGCAAACAAGCTGTGAACAGCGTCTCTTCACACCTCGAGCTGTGAGCAGGACCCCGAGCTGCTCGGATCGGCAAACAAGCTGTGAACAGCGTCTCTTCACACCTCGAGCTGTGAGCAGGACCCCGAGCTGCTCGGATCGCCAAACAAGCTGTGAACAGCGTCTCTTCACACCTCGAGCTGTGAGCAGGACCCCGAGCTGCTCGGATCGGCAAACAAGCTGTGAACAGCGTCTCTTCACACCTCGAGCTGTGAGCAGGACCCCGAGCTGCTCGGATCGGCAAACAAGCTGTGAACAGCGTCTCTTCACACCTCGAGCTGTGAGCAGGACCCCGAGCTGCTCGGATCGCCGCAGCAGCGCGCGCTCGGCACGTGCGCGCTCGCCGTCGCGATGGTGCGCGACGTCCCACGAGCCCCTCCGAACCACCTCCAAGCCACTTTCGAGACACCTCCGAGACACCTCCGAGACACCTCCGAGACACCTCCGAGACACCTCCGAGACACCTCAGAGACACCTCCGAGACACCTCAGAGACACCTCCGAGACACCTCCGAGACACCTCCGAGACACCTCAAGGCGCCTCCCGCAGCGGTCCGTCCCTTCTCTGCACTCACTCAGCCGGCTGAACGCGGACCAATTGACGCGGACCCCCCTCCCCCCCTTTTCCACGGACCGCGGACCCCCCCCCCTTCTCTCCACCCACCACTGGTCACACGCGTCCGCAGGTGCACGTCATGGAGATATGGGGAGATATGGGGAGATATGGGGAGATATGGCGACACGCGTCCGCAGGTGCACGTCATGGAGATATGGGGAGATATGGGGAGATATGGGGAGATATGGGGAGATATGGCGACACGCGTCCGCAGGTGCACGTCATGGACGTCGTCAACGCCGAGCGCCCGCCCGGCTCCGCGCCGCTCTCGGTGCAGATCGGCGTCCACTCTGGCTCTGCAATCGCGGGCATCATCGGCCACCGAAAGTACCAGTTACGCACCCTCGCGCGCGCCGCCGCGCCGTCGGCCCAGAACGGCGCCTCTTCACACCTCTGCGCCGTGAACAGGTACGACCTTGTCGGAGACGCCGTCAACACCGCCGCCCGCATGTGTGGCACGCCGGCCTATAGATGCGGGAGATATGGGGAGATATGGGGAGATATGGCCGCCCGCATGTGTGGCACGCCGGCCTATAGATGCGGGAGAGGCGGCATCGCTGCCGTCTCTTGTAGCCGAAAGCACTCGACGGGGGGGGGGGGGGGGGGCGGGCGCACGCACGCACGCTGCCGTCCCGCTGTCGTCCGAGCTGCAGTCGCTCTACTCGCAGCCCCGGCTCTCACGCGGTGCTCCGAGGACACTGCTCGGACCCGTCACTCACCCCGGCAGCGGCTTTCACGCCGCAGGCATGTCGGCGCCTGGGCGCGTCTGCCTCTCCAAGGCCACGTTCAAGCATGTGCGCGGCCAGTTCGACCTCACGGAGCGACCGCCGCTCAACGTCAAGGGCAAGGTAGCACGCCAGGGGCTCTGGACTGGACACTCTCACACGCCACACACGCACCCACACGCACTGACAAGCGCTGTACCGCTCGCTGTAGCGCGCCGGTCCCTCGCTCTCCTCCCTCCCATTCCCCTTTCCC